TATCGTTACTATAATTGTAATTATTATAATTGTTGTTGTTATTATTATTGTTATCATTATTATTATTATTATTTGTTATTAATGTTATCATTATTTGTTATTGTTATTACTATTGTTGTCATCATCCTATTGTTATTGTTGTTGTTATTGTTATTGTTGTTGTTATTATTATTGTTATTGTTATTAGTATTGTTATTATTATTATTATTATTATTATTATTATTATTTTTATTGTTATTGTTATTGATTTTACTGATTCCGAAAAATCTCAAAATTAATTTATTATTATTGTCTTATTTATTATTATTATTATTATTATTATTATTATTATTAATTATTATTATTATAAATCATTATAACTATTATTAATTATTATTCTTACTCATTATCATTATTATTATTACTATCATTATTATTATTACCTGGTTTCATATTTCTTGTTTATAGCAAAAAGCTATGTGAAATTGTTGTTTCTTCACAAACACTTGTTTTACAGTAGACTGTTTTTTGTGTTTTTTGATTTTGCTTCAGACATTTAAGGGTGTCACGGTCATCTGGCGATCTGAACAGCATTTTTGGTGAAGATTTAGACTCCGAAGACGAACTGGCGAAGGCAGCGTTTGACCCAACGACAAAGTTAGTATTATGATATTAAACGAAAAATCTGTGGCTTGGAAAAAAGTTTAGATTAAAAAATGATGCTTGTAGTTTATTGTTGCCTGATTTTGACTTTGATGTGCGCATTTATCGGTGCTTAGAATAAAGAAGAATGTTGATGAAATTTAGGGTACTAGGTGGAACTAAGCAGTGCCGTAATTAGTTGTGGTATATTTGTGCTCTTCTTTAAAACCTGTTGTTTGATTTTGAAGTTGAGTAATCGCATTCTTTACGTTTTTTTCTTTTCCAGTTTGTCTGTAACGCGAAGAGCAGCTCCCTCCTCAGTTCACGTCCACGTCTTCTTCTGCGAATCTGCTTTTGTGTGTAAGACACTTTGGTCGGCAGCGATTGCGCAACACCAGTTTTATTTAGATCAGCGCGCAAATTTCAGCTCGAAGGTATGTTAGACGCAGTATTAAATTATAATTTGGCCATCGCAACACAGTTAGTGTTGAGCGCTTGTTGTTTATTGTTGTACTGAACTTTAGAATGTTATTTGGTCACTCTTTCTTCTTACGACAAGAAGTTGGGCCTTTGCTTTGGTAATTTTTCAATGGACCTTTTTTCTTGTTGTCTACTTTCTAGCTACTTTTTTAATGTGGTACATGAAGCTATTTACACCTGTCTCTTCAGAATCATTTCGTGAGACTCATGTGTTTTCTGAATGGTATCTGAAGATCTTGTAGTGTTAGTTCAACATCGTTTGAAATAGATTGTGTTGATTTACTAAGGGTGATTATGTGTAGCAAAAATTTTTTAAATGCCAACTTCTTTAGTGCAGAGGGAACATAAAGAGTTTTGTTTGTACTTCATGCGCAAGTTTTTACAGTTGTCATTTATTTCCCAAAGCACGCTGCAACAATTATTGGAATTTTTAACTTACGAAAGTTCGTTTTGTCAGTACTTAGCAGGAAAATTTATTTTTTGTTTTTTTGTGAGTGATAACTTGTGCATGTGATTTATTAGAAATCTTAATGATTTTAACCGTGTCGTACAAATTTAATCTCATCCAATTTCATCAAGAAAGAAAATTGGTTTTTTTGCATTTTTTTTCTTGTAAATATTTATCACACTTTTTTATTTTCTATTCCTTTGCCATAAAATTTCAGATTTGGGTTAATATTCTTTTTGTTCAGTGCAGGAAAAGATGAAAGTTTTTTTAAAAACTACAGGTGTATTAGTCATAAAAATGCTCTTGTTTTATTGCCATTGAAACTTTTGTAGACGTCAAACATAAGGAATTTTTGGAAACCAGAAGAACTGATAGTACTGTAACAGCAGCTTTCTTCTTATTTGCACAGTGTGAATGTAAGTGATTTAGTTTTGAGCACACGGTAGTAGGACTTTGAAAGGTTCATACTGGACGATGTTTTGGAGAGGTCTTTTGATAATGATTTTTTTTTTTTTTTTTGTTTTTCTGATGTCACTAACTTCATTTTGGTTGTATTTGAAAAGTGTTTGCTCTTAAAACTATTTTTCTTAATTTTTTTGAGAGATGAGTGTTTTCCTTTTGTACGTTTTTTTGTCTTGTAATGTTTGCCAGTGGTGAGAATGCTTTTTATTATCAAAAACCAACAACTTTTTCTAGAAAGCGGTGGAGATTGTGCTTTTTGACTATTTCTTCGGAGTCTGTTTTTTATTTTTTTGTAACTGACGAAGAGCGCTTGACTCTTATTTGATTTTTAGCAGGGGGAAATCGGTCATTTTAATCTCTCTTATACTGAAAACTACTCTTGGGCGGAATTATGTTGGCTGGCAAAACTGAAGTAGTCTTTGCTAATTTCCTTCTTCTTACACACAATTTTAGTAAAGAAAAGGTTATAAACCAATTAGGGTGGTGTGTAGTAGGCTGTTCTTTCAAACTTTGTTATTTGGGAATATTTCTGAATGTTAGGGGGGCTGTGGTTTATAAATATGTAGTCTTTTTGCAGCAGTCATGTGTGAGTTTTCAACTTGTAACTGCATGGGGTCGAGTGGCGGTTGGATTTCATTCTTTAATTTTGTTTTTTATTATTGGAAGAGAGTATTGATTTAGAACCGATGGCAATTCTTATGTGGAGGAAGCTACAGTATTTAGTGTTTACCTTTTTTGATAATAAATGGGTTATATGTAAGCCTTAACATATGTGATACTAGTTCTTTTGTTCAAAAATATTTTTTTAAGTGTAATAAAGCATTCTTTCGTCGTAAAACTATATGACTGGCGATGAATACATGAACAGTGAATGATGATGGCACTAATAATCTTAGGATGGAGTAGTGTAGATGAAAAGAAGTATTGGAGGAGGTTCTGTGCTTGAAAATTATAGTTCATTGAGTATACAACTGCAAAGCTAATCTTCAAATTTAGCAAAGGTATTTATGGGCGTGGAGATGTTGTAAGAACCGCTTATTGGTGTCTTCTTTTGTTTTTGTTTGTTTTTTTTTTTTTTTTTTTTTTTTTTTTTT